TCACTCTGTGCACACATGTGCTAGAATGGGCAGGAAATAGTGACTTTGAGCTGCAGGCAGTAGGGTTGAGTGTCCCTGTGAGTTTTTGTATGTGAGCAAGAGAGTGAATAAGTGAGTGGACTGAGAAAAAGAGGTGGTTGAGGGAGGCGGTGGACCGTGAAGGAGCCGTGAAGCGGAAAGGGAGGCTGATGACTGTATTAGGTGCCATCCGTCTAAATGAGTGACTCTTGTCTAAAGCGCTATCAGGGAAGGTCCATGTGATCCCGGTCGACAACACAAACAATTCAGTTCGGAAAGCGTCAGCGTGGAACCAGACCTCATGACCTACCAGAAAGGGACGCCATTGTGTTGCAATAAGTCCCCCTATTCAGCACCCATTTACAAGATCATTTAAGGCGCATAGCTAAAAAACATTCTGATCCATCACAAGACGCCAGTAAAAATAAAATACACCCATGTATTTATGATGAAAACAGTTTGCTCACGGTCCTCTCCGCCTCGCTTTGAGTCAGAGCGAGGGGAAGAAAAGGAGGACACGTCACCTCCCATCATCCGGAGAAGACTTTCTGCTCACAGCACTTAATCTAGAGAGCCTCCCAAGAGTGGCAGAGGGCAAGCCATTAAAGGCCTGCTGAAACACTGCTGATACTGTCAGAAGGAAACAGGAGACACGACAAAGGGAACATGTCAGGAAACTCCACCAGAGGATGTGACACTCACTGCCCACACTAAGAGTGTTAAGGAGCCAGATCAACTCCAATTCAATAATTCATCTTTAATGGGACACTGATGCAAGGTATGAAGATATGTATACATGTCAGTTGTACAGGTAATAGAGACCATGGGCGGATTGTGAGACAATGGATCCCTGGGCTAAGTCAATCAAAAAGCCCTAATAAAGGACACTTTAGTTGTTTAGCCTTTTTTTGTAGTCGTTTTGCATCTCTTTGTGGTTGTACTGTGACTCTTTGTGGTCATGTTGAGTCTATTTGGAGTTGCTTCAGGTCTCTTGATCCTTCATTTGTGCTTTTTTTCTTGTCATTTTGTTTCGCCTTGGGGTTTTTGTTCCCATTTTCATAGTCGCTGTACATTTTGGGGGGGTAATTTGGTTGTTTTTCGCCTTTGCATTGTTTTTGTGAGTCAATATGTAATTGTTTTGCATCTGTTATCTGTCTGATTGGGGTCATTTTGAGTCTTTTGGGGTTATTTTCCAGTGTGTTTTTTGGGTGTTTGGTATCTCTTTGTCAAATCTCCTATAGTGGTTGTTTCTCCCCTTTTTTGGTAGTTCTTATATGCCTCTTCCTGGTCCCTTTGTGTCTTTTTGTTGTCACATTAAGTCTTATTGGTTGTTTTTATAGTCGTTGTGATTGTCTTTGTAGTCTTTTTGTTTGAATTTGTAGTCATCTAAACTACAAAACAAAAGGCTAATTTAACTTTAAACCATGACCAGTTGCAAAAGAGGACGTCTTGACCCCGATACATGAACCACCACAATATTGTCTTTTCATCCAGAGGCTAAATCATCATGCTAATAGTGCACATTAGCATGCTAACACTTTAATTTAAATTCTGAACATGGTAACTCTACACGTGTTAAACATCGACATGTTAGAAAGTAGATGAAGAGAAACAGATTTTTGATAATATCCAATCTCCCTCTCTGTCACCCTGCTAAATGAGCCGGATCATCTCAATACAGGAAAGGATGTGAATACCAACCAAGAGACAAATAACCTTTCGAGCCAAATCTTATAGTCCACCATTTGACTTAAAGGTCCCCTATTATACTGTTTTTCATCAATATATTATAGGTCTCAGATACAAAACATGTCTCTGACGTGTTTGGCTTGAAATACCCAACAGATCGTGCATTGCAGCATCCCATAATCCCCTCTGTTTCAGCTCTGTTTCAAAAGTTCTGATTCTCTATCTGTTACTTTAGATGAAAATAAGGAGCCACTCCCCACGCCCCTCTGAGAGATATTTGGTTAAAAAGAACGGAATGGTGCTCTAGGAGGAGATTCAGGTGATAAGGTGGGGGGTGTTACCTTGGTTGGTGATTGGCTAATGGTTACACAAGCCAAAAAATCGTTATGCCATCATAAAGTGGCCAAAATCTGATCAGCTCATTTTCATTTTATATAAATGGATCAGGACAAAAGGTGAGCCAATCTTTTTTCCTGAAACTTTCAGAATCTCTTTACACAGAGGGGACACATGTTTATGTATAAAAGACAAGTCTATTTTGCATAATAGGTGACCTTTAACTAAAGCTAAAATGGTATTTAGAGTTTGGAAAAGAGAAGCCTGGACCCACTAACCTGCATTCTGATTAGTGGTCTGACAAATTCAACCTCCCCAGTGAATGCACTATAATGTCATGAATAAAAAAAAGTGGATACAAGTTATTCTACAGTTGACTATGTATAAGAGTTGTGTGTATTTGCTCACTGTGTCGCCTAGTTTTCTGTGATGATGCGTATTTGTAGGAGTTACAAGGAGGGGGAGGTGTTGGACAATGGTACGCTCCACTGGCTGATGTACAATGACAGACTGTCGGCAGTAAGAGGGGAATGTTGCACGTTAGGCAGGTCAGCAGATGCTTGGCTGACAGTCAATTAAATATTCAAGTCGAGACACTGTTATCATGGATCTGATGCATGTAATGTCTCCGAAACAGACTCAGGGTAAGATAAAAAAATGTGTTCCTGAAGTGCAGGATGTCACAGGGACATCACATCACAAGAAACATGACATTTTGATCTACCTTTAGTTTTGAAGCCCACCCATCTCAACCTAATCTATTAAAATCAACTGAAAGTCAAATAAGAAGTGTTAAATTATTATAACACAAATTGGAGTGTCTCAGGAACTCATTATTTTCTCTTTTAGAAAGTAGAATATAGATTAGTGCTGTCGAAAAATATGTTAATATTCAGCATAAAAGTAAGTACATTTATATATATATTTCTTCCGATTCAAGTATTCAAATAGTCTAGTTTGGCCCAGTGATAGTATTTATGAATGGTTTCCATTGCCAGCTAAAAATGTTGGCTGTGTGTCTTCTATAAAATGGAAATACAGGAAGTAAGCAAAACTTGAATTCTGCTAACTTGCTTGTTCCTGAGATTTGTACTTTATCATATCAGCAGATAGATATCGGGTCGCTCATGATATCGAAGAAACTAGTAACTGTACAGTAGAACACAACTGTTTAATCCTTTTACATTACTGCCATCTACTGGAACACCCTGCACAACAAAAGTATGACCTCCATAGTCAAGCTACACAGTAGCTACAGGCAATATAAACACAGATAACATTTAAAAAAGTTTAGGAATGAACTAATCAGAAACATGCTTAAATCATTAATAATAGTCATGAGAACAGTCACACACCGGGCTAGATTTAGTTTGACCAACATTGACACTGCTACAGACACAACAGCACCAAATGGAAAAGAGAACTTTATTACAACACACAGACACTGTATATCCAGTCACTTTCAACACATTAGCTTATACAGAGAGTCCTGAAACCTGGGTTGCAGTGGATATGAAACCAGACCCAAAAGTATTGTCATTGTCAAAAACTAAATTCATGCCCATTAACATCTATTACCTATGGACATTTCAAAACATACAGAGTAGATGGGAGCATGACAGACTCCTAAAAAATCTCCAATAACTTTGCATAATAATGTACTGTACAAACTTATATTGCATATACTGCACAAAACCAACAAACTGCTCTTGCATTAAAAACCAGGTTTAGTATTCTGTAGTGGATGGTAAAATAACATTGGTGTAATACTGAAGGTGCATGATAGGTGTTTAATGTACTTAAAATATCTAAGGATCACACCCATTTGAGTCCCAAATATATATATATATATATATATTAAAAGAAAAAGTAAAAATGACCTCTTAATGCATTTTTGCTAAGGCAACCATGACAATGTTATGTAAAAGGAAGGCAAACAGTAACTGAGCTGCCATGTTAACACATGTTCTATGTACACACATGATGGAACAGGCCCTTCCTGCATTGGTACAATAAGGTGTTATGTGATGATTTATAACAAGTTATGGAAGCAAATGACACACATGGATACAACATGTCAACAATAAAGGAAGGTCTATTCAAATGGTGTTAGTGCCTAACACACACAACATGACTTTTTTCGGGTACTCACGCTGTATTACTCTAGAAGAGAATGAGTTTCTCCATTGTGAACGAGTAATCAAACCATTTAAAAAAGTCAATGAAATATAAGTAAATGGGAGCCACGTTAAACAACATAAAAACTATACCAAAATATATATTTACAAACTCACTACACTTCACGTTTTACTTTAAACTTTACCATGTAATACACTTCGGAATCGCTCGTTTTTGTAGAAGTGTATTATATTGTAAGGTTGTATTGAAATTGCATGTTTTTTTTTTAATTAAGAAGCATACGACTTGATAAATAAGAATTGGATTTTACTACACAAGTTGTGTGAGCAAAAATATATAATTTTGATGCAGTTAAAGGTGGGGTAGGTAAGTTTGAGAAACCGGCTCGAGATACACTTTTTGTTATATTCCATGGAATGCTCTTAACATCCCGATAGCAATGAATATCTTAAGTGCTTTGACAAAAAATCCATAAAAAAAATGTCATCTGTGGAAGCTGTAGTACTGTAAAAAGCACGACCAATCATTGTAGCCGGGCCGGCTAAAATAACTGGATGGCCTACCTGCCTGTCAGCCTTCCATCTGTGCACAAACTTATCTCGTGCCCTCATTGGTCATGTGCGCTTTCGTGTGTGTTGGAGGAGGGGCTCTGTAAGGAAGTGGCAGATTTTTTCCGGCTGTGTATTTTCAAATTCTAGCGATCTCGAGCTGGTTTCTCCAAAATGACCTACCCCACCTTTAAATGCAGCCCCATCTACTTCAATTCATCAAGACCTTTTCTGTTTTTTATATCCTTTTTGCCCAGCTGGCACACAAAAAAATAAATAAAAAGACTTTACCTTGAGACTTTACACAGGGTGAGTAATTGGTATACTAATGGTCAATCTGTAGGTGAAATAGGCCTTTAAAATGGATGATATACAAACTAAAGTCGAGGGATAAGCAGACTCTAACGCACCTTCCAGTGAGGCACAGGTATTGATCTTGGCTTTTACATCAGCAGCACCCAATACATTACAGACACTCATTGGCCAAATCATGCTTGGAATGGATCCAGCAAAGAAAAAAAGAAAAGTCTAGCAAAGTACCATGACAAGGTCATTAAAATCACACACATGCACTGAATACATACCATTGGGGAAAGTGAGAGAATATATGTTATATTTCTCCCTATGATTTGGGTGAAATTACCCTTTATCACAAGCTATGCATTAGATGTAGACATTTCAAAATAAGCCACCTTTAAGACATAAAACAAATATGAAAAACGTAATAATCCATACCCCAGACCATTCAGTTGTATCATTATGTTGCACGCCACAGCATTAAACACTGCCATGGGTTTCTATGGCACACAATCTAACAATAACCCCTAACAGCGGTTAAGTAGCAGGTTTCCAAACAACTGGTCTGAGGTACCTAAATAAAGGAAAGGCATTTTATACAGCATCCAACCAGTTCAAACAATCTAAAAAAGTTGAATAATCTGGAAGATTTCATGTGGCACAATGCTGTTGAACTGATGTTATCTCACATTGTGGTTGTAAAATACATCTTTTGGATATACTATACATACTTTTCATAGTATGAAAATAGATTAAATGGATCTTAAATTTGCTCAAATTAAAAAGGAGGGGGAAGGAAGAGAACATCAACACATTTACAATGTCAGATTTCCCATATATTTACAAAAACTAAAGGATTTGGAATAAAAAAGTATACATCTAGGTATATTCCTCTGGCAGTTGACACGATGCAGAGGATCCTTTCAGCCTCGGGGTAAAAACACTGTTTCTATAAGACAAGATTCAGCACACGCACAAGGCAGCGTTGTGTTGCTGTGACAGGTGACTGCTTTCCTCGGAGGAGCTCCTCTTTTCACGAGATTGTTCACTTTGTACATTGCTCTGTGTCTCCGGGAAACTTTTGCCAGAGGATGGAGGACCTATAAGTTCAGGGGCATTGTGGGAACGTCGAGACCTTTTAAACGGAGGAGCAGGAGCAGCAAAGTCCACTTTGGAGTCTTGCTTTTCGAAGACATCCAGTGAACAGTCCGAGGCGTGCGGGGCGGCCCTCGCTGAGCCACAGAGAGCCGCTTCATAGAACCCGAACGCCTGCTCCAGAGCTGCGGAACTTCCTTTAAAAGGGGAGGCAGCTGCATCGCTCTGCTGGAATAAAGTCAAAGAAATATTGTTAAAATGTCCTTATTATTTATCATATTTAACACTTGTTCTTACACATTTTAATTCATTTAAATTCTGTTGTTTTTGTCGAGAAAAGGTGGCTTTACATCAGATGAATAAATGAGACCAACAGATGAAAGCTGGGACAACGGGATGAAGACTAAAGCAATGGAAATGAACAACCGTTCATAAACAATAAAGGGCTTGAATGTATTCAAATAATCAGGTAACTGTCAAAGATGTAGGCTGTAGATCAGAGTTCCCGTTAGAATATTTCTTTGCCGGTCAAAATGTCCGTTAAAGTTTAAATCTTCCGGACAAAATGAGAAAAGTGCCAGTCAAAGGTCTTCTTTGTTATTTATTGAGCTTTAAAAGAAATTAATATGATTCGATATTAAACAAACTAATTATAGTAGATTAACTACATTATTCAAAAGTGTACAGTAACTTACAAAAACGCGGGGATAATAAACGGAGCGCTCTCTCCTTCTCCTGACAGCCCGCCAGTATCATGCAGCTCGCAGATCCAGTAATGAGTGACGCGACAGTAAAACTAAACATATCTATAACTAGTTTAGGTAGTTTGAGAGGTAATTAAAATAGCTACGTGTGATGTTCTAACCTGAAGTGTGTTTTGCTCTGCTCACCGCTGCAGGTGATCATGCAGAGCTGCGTGTCGACTCGTCAGCAGAAGCTGATCTCAGCATTATGCATTTGTTTACATGCCCACCGGAACCCCGAGGCATTACCAACAGATCAACGCACAATCAACCCATACAGGACATCTCTTTCTCCACATTAAGTGTTAGACATTAGAATTGACTCTTCTTGTCTGTCACATAAGTGGCGCAACTGATGCGGTATTGCGCTAAGGGGAAATTATTTTGACCGGAGAGATTTAGATTTGCCGGTCTTCAGCATATTTTACCGGTCATAGTCCGGTAATTACCGGCTAACGGGAACTCTGAGATGTACATTACAAATATGACTTTGATTTTAAGTTAAGAGGTCTTGACTGCTTGTTGCAATACATTTTTTGAAGCTATTTGCTACCAAATGTAGCGATTCTGAAATCCAGGTTAAAATCATAATGTTTTTTTAAAATGTTTTTATTCTATTTTATTATTATAACGTAACTTTTGATTATATAACCTTCTGTTTAGTAAGTAATATGTGCTTTGTCACGTCTTTTATAAGCTTTCTCTTTTTTCAAGAAAAGCCCACTTCATTAAGTGAAAATTAAAGGAAATAAAATGTCTATTACAGAAGAACGCTAAAGCTGGATATTTGGGAGGTAAAGGCGTTCTCAGGGCTTTACAAATATTATAACAGTCTGTTATTATTATGTATTATTAAGGCACATTTTCAAAGAAATTCCCTGTTCTCTTCAAAGAGTAATGGAAAGTACAGATTTTGTCTTCAGATCTTCAATCATAAATTGGATCTGGGGACAGATTTTAAATAGTCAAAAGTATTCTTTGTGCCATTTGTTCATTCCATTGCAATGCAAGAAAGCCATCAACTACATTATGGTCCTATTCCTTGATAAATATATAGTATGAAATGAATACAATAAAACATGAAAAAAAAGGGGTGACAATCAGAATACGGTTAAGGTTGCACTATAACGTTTAAAAAAAAAAAAAGCCATTTTAATGTCACTGTCTCCCTCTACTGGCTAACAGGGAGAATAATGTTCAAGATGGCACTTAAGGATTGTAACAATCTTGGACTAACAAAGTAAACTAATGTTTTAGAATTGGCTTTATCACTTTCATTTCCAAATATTGGGCCACAGATTTAAAGAAATAATAAGTAATTTAAAGTTTTCTTTCAGTCCAGTATCAATCCCTTAATAATGCTATCTCAGTGCTAGCATGGATAACACTGGGGTATCAATGCTAGCAATGTACTGTAAGGGTTAGTGACTGACATTTTACTACATGTTTAATAGCGGCTTTGGATACTTTAAAATAGTTTGCATAACTCAAATGTTGGAATAATAAGATATAATAATCCAATAGAAGCTTTTTTACGCTCTCTGGCACCTAATTTACATTTGTACGCACAAAAGGTTCCCATTGTGAAAGAAATCATCATCATTGTGAGTAAGGACATGGTCAGAGAGCCCCCAGGCTCTCTTTTGCTTTTGTAAGTTGAATATCACTGTAATGATAATAGAATTCATTGCTGAGTCATAATTCTGACATTTTTATACATTTATTTTAGGAGCAGTCACCTCACTACCACTCCAGGCACGGCCATCCCTCATGATCTTCTCCATATATCTCATCTTCTCCAAAAAACATGTCATCCTCATCATGCTCCTCCTGTTGGCCGCGGAAACAAAGAGTGACGTGTTGAAAACCACTGGTCCACTGTCAAAGGGGCTGCTATGACCTCAAGAGGTGACTACAGTCTTTAATCTTTTTACCGGTCTAAGTATTAAACAAAATGACAATCAAAAAATGGACTGGAATATATATCAAAAGGACAATATGGTGGACAGCGAACGACATACAAACACTCAAGGGCTGCACAATTAACTGTAATGGTATCAAAATCGCAATGTTAACTAGTGCGATATCCAAATTGCAGTAAAAACAATAGTTGGTCAAAGCTAAATATGTACAAATATCTGAAGTATTGTGGAACTGCAGAGAAGTTCTGGCCTACAAATTGCAATATGAGTCAAAATAATTATATTTAGTTCTTTCTTTTCAAAATGGTTCAGCCTGTAAACACACATACATGCTGCATGAGGAGGATGCAGCAGAGATATGGCACTGACCTGTGGGACCACACATGTGTTGTAGGTGGTTCCTGGGAAGGGAACGTGGTCCATTCCTGTAGTCATGTCCACCACGATCTCGTCTCGGTGCATGGGGATGGGCGGGCCCCCCCGCTCCTGTAGGGCCAGGACAATAACCGTGGTGTTGTCTGCACGCAGCATTCGCTCTTTCCAGAAAAGGAGTGCGGTGCAGCCCAGCCGGCGGGCGCAGGACATTCCCTTTGGTCCCTAAAAAGCAAAAAGCAAATTATTTTAAAAATCCTCCAAAGAGCCCAGGCTACAACAAGTGTGAAGATGTTGATACAGCCATTTTCATACTGTCAAACTATGTAAAGAATGGATAATCATCCCATTCCACCAAGTCTTACAGAATGAATATATATCATCATGACACTTTCCCAGTTGATAACTTCATTTACGAAGTTTTCTGGAATGATATGTTTAAATATGCAAATAAAGCACTATCTTGAAATATGCAAATAAAGCATTAAACTATCATTTGACTACATTTCAGGAACAGAAATGTAAATCTTTAGAGGAAGCAAGTTTCCTTTTCTGATTTTCCTTTTATTCAAAAATATTATGGGGGAATTTTAGGATATATTTTTTTTTATCACATTTCAGAAAAAACTGTCAAAATGCATTATATAAATCAGGCATAAAGAAAGAAGTTAAGTATGAGAAAACCATTTGACCTTTAAAATATATTTGTAAAAGTTAATGCATTTTGAAAGACACTAAGCATGATTGGGGGTTAAAATGTGAACTAGTACATACACTGCCCATCCCCAAAAAAAGTTGCACACTCTAATATTTCATTGGACCGCCTTTAGCTATCGTTTCGATATGCTTCTGCAATGTCAAAACATTTAATTCGGTCCAGAGTTGCATTCATTTTCAGCCAAGATCTTGTATTGAATCCTGGCATTGTCATCTTCAAATATGCCCGTGCCATCAGGGAAGAAAAACTCCATTGATGGAAAGACATGGTCATTCAGTATATTCAGGTAGTCAACTGACCTCATTCTTTGGGAACATAACGCTACTGAACCTAGATCATAATACTGCCCCCCCAGGCTTGTACGGTAGGCACTAGGCATGATGGGTACATCACTTCATCACATCACTTCATCCGCCTCTCTTCTTACCCTGATGCGCCCATCGCTTCTGGAACAGGGTAAATCAAGATTCATTGATTTGGTTTTAATAATGCGTTGGACAGTTCTTAACCCGATTATAGTAGCCTCGAAACTGATTAACATCCTTTCCACGACCACAGGATATGTCTTCCGACATGGTTGTTTAAGAAATGAGAAGCTAAACACCACAACAGCTAGGATTAAATAACTTGTTGCCAGCTGAAATATATTATTCCCTGCAGTAATTATCCAATGGAAGGCTCTTAAAGATTGTTTAAAGTGGACCTATCATGCTATATTATAATAATATAGTGTAGGACCATACCTATATAAGGCATATTTATACTTTTTTTTTTTCAAATTACCAAACAGATCATGCATTTTAGCCATGCCTCATTTCACTTTTTTACCCCTGTTTTTGCAAGGGCTGATTCTGTGAGAACAGCACCACCTACAGGCCTGGCATATGTACTACAGCGTCTCCAGCGCTTTCGAACGGCAATGGCCGTGGCTGTCTCCTCCTGATAGGTGGAGAGTTGGCCCAATAGCCGTAGCGCCACTGTCCTGACGTCAGGACAGTGTTCAAATCTGGATCAGTTTTTATCAGATCCGTTGCAGCCCCTTTTTTTAGAGATTTGGGTATGGAGGAAAATAGAGAGGGTTGTGTTTTCTGACACTTGGTGAGTTCCCTGGAACACCGGGGACACATATTCATGTATAAAAGACGTACAACAGTGCATTTTGCATGATAGGTCCCCTTTAAGTTAAATCCAGTTGGTGACTTTTTTTTTGACGGGCAGTGTATAACCATGAAACTAACCAGTTTAATACTTGCAGTAAGACCAAATGTAATGCTTTTTTTTGCTGAACCTATATGATATATACGGATGCAAATAGACAAAGTGTAGTAAAATACACACAAAACGCAACGTAAATTGCAACTTCCACAATTACTTACCACCATTTTGTCGTGGCTATAACACATATTGACAGCATTCTTGGGCGGCATCATGTTCCACAGTCCGTCACTACCGAGGATGATGAAGTGATGCCGACTGGGGTCAAGGGTCATCATGGTTGTATCGGGCTCTGGAGAAACCACAAACTCCCCGCTGTAGAAATCGTAGCTCCAAAGATCACCTTTCAACAGAAAACTACATGTTATCACCTCTGGAGGAACAAAGGAGTACTGCAGGAATGAGTCCTAAAACACGGGAATGAGTTAACATTGAGGCACCTCTGATTCGCTTGTTTTTTTTAAAGGGCTATTGGTTATAGGCCTGAAATGAGGTCTATGCACTCTATGGTTAACAAAAGCTTAGAAGATTTTCACATTTTGTTCTACAACCTAAAATACATCAGTAAATACCTCACTTGTGAATGTCTGAAGCATGTCATAAAAACGGCGGTTACTAACAAGTGGCTAATTGAGACTACTAAATGTCATCATGCGAACATTAGCCGCGTTTAGCTTAGCGATGTTGACGTGAACACATGGCACCGTGCTGTAGTTCCTTTATTGCCTAATGTTAGCTTTTTAATTCTTGAAATTGCATTAACACTTCAATTTTGTTTATTTGTGAAAGTGTTGTCAATATGTGGAGATTTTACTGCTAAACTAAACGTGTAAATATCTTAAACCTGTTTGCCGCAAGAGCTTATTTCTTGCAATATCCCCAAAATCAGATGGAAAAATCCTATTCATTTTGTGGAGGGAGCCCTTGCTATGCTAACTTCTGGGTGTGCTGACAAAAATAACTCATCCCTGAATCACTCTATTAAATGAAAATACTCATATCACAGTGCGGACACTCTAGACAAAGGGTGTGATCTTTACCGAGGGATCGGGCCACAGCCAGGAAGGGGATCTGGTCAATGACTGTGCTCCTCCTCACAGGGCCGTTATGGGTCAGCCTCGGCCTCTTCCACACTACACGGTTCACACCAGATTTCTTCATAACGCTACAGAAAAACAACACAATTCAATACAAAGCCTAGTTTGACAGGTAATACAGCAACGATATAAGGAACAATAGGCGAAAAAAACATCTGCCCTGTGTAGCAATGTTTTCAGGATCAGTAAATGCAATCCAACATTCAGAGAGTATGGCAGAAGAAGTGTTTTATAAGGTCTTGTCACAAATTCACCTGCCACCCAGCCGCTCGATCCTTTCTTTTTCCTTAGGAAGCTCAGGTTTATGGTCTTGTGTTATTTCAAGTGCCTGGAGGGTTATATCAGAGTCATTTTCTCGCACTCCAACCACCACTGCCGAATCCCCCACATGGGCCACATACATGTGAACCCCGCGGATCACAGTCACGCTGGCTGTGGTGCCTGATGTGCTGGGCAGGCCGGTGATAGTCTTCGGCCACTCCGCTGTAAAGGGAAAAGATAAATAAAAAAATAAATGTTAACTCCATGAATCAATGTGGTCAAAGTTTGTAAGTGGGGGAACAGTGTCCATTATGAAAAACAAGTGAGGATAGGTCTATTTCGTACTGATGGAAATGCTAAATAAAGGTTATTTAGGTATGGGAAAATATAAAATGGCACAATTATCATGGCCAAATATCCTTTTGTCAGTCAGTATCCATTTGTAATCTACAAAATGTAAAAAAAAATTTACTTCATAGTGTGATCTGAGCTTCATTTGTGATGTGTTGTGGTCTGATTATTGATTTACATTGTAATTGGCTGACCAGTCTCCAAGATTGGGCATCATACAATTATCCCCATGTGACACAGTTAGGTAATGCAGAGACGATGACAGTTACAATGATATGCAATTTGCAGCAGTAAATATGGAATACATAATACACGTTAGCTTACGTAGCTCTTTCCACATTGCATGGTGACAGGCGATGAAGCCTTTCTTGAGCGCAGCACACACTTCACTGTGATCCTTCGACCAAAATCCCCTCTGCCTTTTCAATATCCCCCACAGATTCTCTCTGGCGAAATGTGCCGCTTCTCGACCCCCGTGGCCATCAAAGACAGCGAAAAAAGCCACAGACTTCCGAGTGTCAACAGCATGCTCCGAGGTTTTTCCCTCTGTGACCGGTGCGCTGCTGTTGTGACTGTCCTCATTCGGTACACTCTCTACCCACATTGCAGAAGCCGGGCCGGACTCGGCAGCAGCGTCCTGGTCGTGTGTCTCATTTTCAGTCTGTTTTGTAGCTTCACCCTCCGCCTTTCCCTGTCCTCCATGTCCCTGCGTTTTGGGGTAATCTTCGCCTGTCGTCGGCGACTGAGTCGGCTCGTACTCGATCCTAATATCGACAACATCCTCCATGTATTTTCTCCCCCCTTGCTCCGAAAATGCACTCATACGAAATATTATTCCCTCTTCCATGATTGAGAACGTATAATGTTATATATCTATGCAAGGGCACATGTAAGCTAATTTAAGCTTGCAAGCTAAACCTTTTAAAACCGAGTTTGCCGCGATTGTACAGCCGAAGGCTTCCTTCCTTTTTGTTTATCTTCTCCGAAACGTCCCGCTGTACGTGATGACGTACTGGTTTCCCACCTGCAAGTACGTATGGCACGCCGGCTACTTTGCTGCCTTCGTGGGCACTCGAAATAATTGGAAATTGCAATTTCATCACATTACAGACCACAACAAACTCTAGAGCAGGGCTCTCCAACACGTCGATCGCGAGCTACCGGTAGCTCGCGGGCAGCTTTTCAGTAGCTCGCCGCTCGATTATCGATTATAGCGTAGTAAGGTTGCTTATTGATTTTTCGGCCGCGGTTGGACAATAACGTTTTTTTATTTTAGATTTTTTTCTGTCACACGAATATCAAATGGTCGGTGACGCAGAGATCAAGGAACAGACGTGACAGCAGCACAGCGACAACACACACGGAGCAGTCTGCTTTCTCCACCAGCACGAGTCCAGAACTAACAGCAGAATGACCCGCTCTGAATCAGGCCCTGTCGCTGCGCCTCAGAGACACACAGGGAGGGATTTGTGTTTTTTGAAAAACACTCGTTATCGTCATGTCAGGTTTTTGGTGGATTTAATCAAGTCTTGGATTGCAGAGTATGAATGTCCTCTTGCTATTTTCAGTTGATAAATACTTGTGTAAAGTTTGTGAAGGCAGGAGGAAAGCTTCCGCGATCACCGTCTCCTCTCCGTTCCTCCAAACCCCGCCCCCTCCCTGAAAATAATGAGTGACAGGCTGATAGTGACCCGATAGAAACTTTATTATTCACTTAATCACTGATTGAGATATGATGAAGCTAACTTAATCTCATACATTCATGGCATGTATGTAACAGTAAGACAGAGAATGTAAGTGTGCACCCACATGCACTATTTTTGTTTTTATAATGCTATTGTAAATACTCCTGCTGTTTTCAGACTCAAGTCATGTGTGTCTTTTTTTTAACAGAAGACCGTAGCTAGAAGCTGCAGCTAGACTGCAGAAGTATTAGTTTTTTGTTTTTGAGGATGGAACCATTTTCACACACAGATATAGGGAGGCTAGACCTATACAATTGATTTATTATGGTTTATAATTTAATGTCAAGACGAAGAAGAAGAAGAAAAAGATGGCTGAACAACTGTTCAGTGTCAATCCTGTGGAGATCTCCAAAATAATGTTCAGCTTAAGTCTCAGCAAAACTCACAACATTTCTGGAGCCTTGTAGACCCAGAAAACTATAAGAACATTCACCAAGCAGCACTGAAAATGTCTGCTTTATTTGGTTCTGTTCTACATACCTTTGTGAAGCAGCTTTTTCTGACATGAATGAAATCTAAATACAGAACAAGACCGACTGATGAACATTTAAATGACTCTATTAAGTGAACCTAAGTGGGTCCAGCATACACCTCTATGGTGGACTGTATGCAGTGCCATTAATCTCACTAACAAAAGAGTGAAATGCTTGTAAGGTGGTGATTAAGGACACTTATGTGAATGTTCAGTGATGTACTTATTATGTGGGCCATAATAATATGTGAGAAATCTTCGTTTTCTTGGACCTTATTTTTGATAAGCTTTAGGTATTGCAATTTCACACGTGTACAAAAGTATAGCTTAATTCAACTGATGAGGGCTATGTGAATAAATGTAAGCGATGTGATGCAAGTAGCTCTTGGCCACTTTCATTTTTTGAAAGTAGCTCTCAGATGAAGAAAGGTTGGAGACCCCTGCTCTAGAGTGTGGCCCTTTTAACCTTTCAATCAAACGCTTGATGACATAATCCACCATGTGTCATACTATGAACGTTAGTTTTTACTGCAATGATAAAATAAAGTCAACATTTCACAGTCTTTACTGAGCTGTGTGGGGTTTGTTCAACTTTTAAAAGATGTTTGAATGGTGATATACACAGTGATAGATGTTAAGGACTAACGTTTATAATAAATACATTTGTATTGATTTTAAGATCTTTTCATACAATCATACGTATTGGGATCATTTGTATTAATGTGGACCGGAGGGACAGGGTGACGAGCATAAGTTTCACTTTCCTTTTTTATTTCAATTCCAACTTTGGTCATGAAGAATATGTTTCTCTGTTGTCCCCGTTCATAAAGCATAAAACAACAGCATCAGAGCACGGTGCAGTGTCTCTAGATGAGTTTACAGTAGTCCCTCATTCTTATTATACATCCATGTTGTAGTCCGCTGTATAGAAAACTGTAGTTTCCATAGTTTCCCCACAGCAGCAGACGCACATTTTAAAAAGACTACAAATCCCAGAGTCGCGTAAGAGATGTCACTCATAACTGATGTCACAATTGTTTGCCTCCACTAAAATAGAGATAGCTAAGATAAGATAACTTTAACAAGATGCCTGTGTGCTTAGTACCAGGTTGTTATCATACCAGCAATGGGTCTTGCTCGTTCTTTCGCTTCCCGTCTGATAAAAGGACCAGGAGTGGCTGGATCAAGTTAGCTACCTAGCTAGTAGCAAGCACGTTAGTTAGCATTACAGCCTTAGCCTTGTCATTTTTATTAGCCTTAACATGAAGTAACATTAAGTTACCCAAAATGTTAAACAGTAAGAGTAGTAGTCATATTTCGTGAACCCTTTGAAGAGTACTGTCACACCGGTGTGATCATTCAACACAGTCTATAATACACCATTTAAGCCCGGGGGAGAAATGCTAACGCTACATTAGCATCGGCGATCTTTTGTACTTCATGCTATCTGCACAAATGGTTGACATTAAACATTAAAAAGATCAGGCAGTTCAGAGAGAATCAAAGGAAGACAGGCAGGCAGGCAGCTTTGCATGACTTGCAAAATTATCTTTTAAATTGACAAACATCATTTGTGTAATTCGTGGCACAATTCAAACGGGATCGAAAGATAATCTTTCTCTCTCCATTGACTTCAATACATATTTTTTTCCGAAATAAGGTCCCATGGAGGTCCACCGAAAGGGGAGGGACTTCGCCACTCTATAGAGAACCGCAGTGACGCGTCCTAAAACCCGGAAGTAAGTTAGCATTTTTACCACGTCCGCTTCCTTCGACAAAAAGCAATGCAATTTCTCCATAGGATTTTGGAAAATAGCTCGAAATAAGGTCTGTGTTTGACACAAATTGAAGAGACAGATCACGTTTTGTTCTACGACATTAAATACATCAGCAGTGACCCCGCTGGTGATTTTTGAAGAGTTTACGTGTCTGAAAAACAATGGTTGTTAACATGTGGCTGAATAGGACTACAGAAGTTGTCCAGGCCGTTTTACGTCATTACACCGAACACGTAAAACACTCCCGCTAAGTTTGTTTGCCCTGTTCTGCTTGAAAGCAAGTACCTGCCTCCTGCAAACTGTTCAAACAAACGCTTCAACTTGTACCATTTAGAATCTGTATGTTTGAATATGGATCTTAAGTTGGCGTGACATTGAAGCAGCGACCCTGCTGTAGTTCGTTTATAGCATAACGTTTTGCTTCTGGCGACTAGATTTATGATTCGAAAATTATAAAAGTAGGGTAGACATGTGGATATTATCCGGCTGAACAAAACGTGATCCGTCTCTTAAAGGTGTGTCAACCACAGACCTTATTTCGAGCTATTTTCCAAAATCCTATGGAGAAATTGCATTGCGTTTTTGACGAAGGAACCTGAAGGCGTTTACTTCCGGGTTTTAGGACGCGTCACTGCGGTTCTCTATAGGCTTGTTTGAGATGAGCGAGACCGACGCAGACCTGCGCAATTGCGATCGCCATCTTGTACTGTTCCAATGTCCAGCATACTTGGAAGTCTACCGAGCCCGGCGTACTTCGTTTGGAGAAATTTCGAGGCTGCACATGTGTAGACTCCGCGGTCTTAAAATCCCCACAATGCTTTGCGCACGGACCAATTTCCCCAAATCTGTGGCGGAAAATGTAAGACGGGGCCTCTCATATGACGCACACCTGCACACTTGCTCGCCTGTTCCACTCTTTGTTTTCCGAATGCCAGGAAGTATTCTTGCCTCGCTTCTGAAGCAAGACGCTCGGAAGACATGTGCTACCAAGCAAGCGTACTCGACATTGAGAAACACCCGGTTAGTCATTTTGTCCGACTTGCTCTGGAGGCTCGACTACATGAGACGTTGAAATCTCGCGGGACAAAGACGCCAGCAGCCTTGAGAACGAGGCGGAGCAATTTCTCTCCACGAGCTGCAGAAGCGAAATGCTTGACGGGAAACGACTTGCTGGTATATCGAGTTGAGCGCTCATTGGTGTTTTTTTACCCCGTGCTGGTGATGAAAAAACTCTCCAATTGGCTCCGCAAAAGTTTGTTGTTGTTTTGTGTCAGTTTTACGTTGCCACTTCCATTCACATTTTTCATCATTGTTCCACAATGTTTATCATCATGAAATTAATATCTATATATTTTATACTATACTTGCACTGCTTACCGTTTTCATACTTTATCTTAGCATATTCATACACACTGTTAATACTGTGTTCATCATACTATAGGCTACTGTGTATAGTGTATTCATACCCCTCACTGTTTATTCATCATTCAATTCATTCTATATTTTATTCTGTAGATTGTGTACATTATTTTCACTTTACTGCTTTTTGCACTCCTGGTTAGAAACTAAACTGCATTTCGTTGTCTCAGTACCTGTAATCTGTGCAATAACAATAAAGTTGAATCTAATCTTGAGCAGGAACACATGTATTTATTTAGTACATATCTGACATTAACGATTTAACACATTTGTGCATTCTTTATAAATGCAAACTGGTCAAGACCACTGATGGAATTAGTTTTGAAAAGTAGTGGTTCTGTCTTTTACATGTAGGATTCAACCCCCCTTGTATTGATTTGTTTTAAAATGAACAGAATGAATGAAGTCATTCATTTGCAGTGATATAATAATTGTGGGATTTCTATTGCATCCACTTCATCTCCAACGCAATTTTCGCCATTGCAAACCGAGTCAAGCCGACTCCGAGCTGTCCGACTTCAGGCGAGCTTTTTGAGCTGCAATCGGCTATTCTCGTCTACTTTCGAGGCGAGCCGCAGCTCATCTCAAACAAGCCTACTGCAGAGACGCGGACAGACGCAAATTCGCTCCGACGGCGAGCATGAAGCGGTGGACGCGAATTCCGCGGCGCGATTGAGGCCCTCCTCCAACACACACGAACGCGCACATGACCGGGCACGAGATACGTTTGTGCACGAGATGG